GCCATGAATTACGCATATGATGTTTGTCAATCTTAAAAAATCATTTCCATGTCAAAAAAGTCACAGTTTGTCTTAAAACTGTTGAAATATAAGACTATGAACAATACGCAACTAGAAAGACTACAAATCCCAGAATCCTGGTCCCGCATGCTGGCTCTTACGGAACCGACTAACTCCCCTTGTGTGTATGAACAGCTCTCAACATGCCCAGACTTGTAGTGATTTTCACCTCTTTTAATACTTTCCACCTCATTCTGAAAGAAAGAGGTGAAATGTGCCAACGTGACGGCCGTCTTGGTGTTGGTGACGTGTGCGAGACCAGAGATGTAGTTCATTGAGCGCTTCACACAAAAAAATGTGTTACTTCACAGTTTTACGACACATTTTATTTATTTTTTGACTTGCAAAATTATCTTTTAAATTGACGAACATCATAAGTGTAATTCGTTGCACAATTCAAACGGGATCAAAAGATAATCTTTCTCTCTCCATTGACTTCAATACATGATTTTTCCAAAATAAGGTCCCATGGAGGTCCCCCGGAAGGGGAGGGACTTCGCCTCTCTATTTGCTCTTTTCCAGCCCTCTTTTTGCAAGGGCTGATTACAGCGCCACTTACAGGCCTGGCATATGTACGACAGCGTCTCCAGCGCTTTCGAGCGGTCTCTCATTCCCCTGATAGGTGGAGAGTTGCCCATATAGGCGGAGCACCCCTTTTTCTGACGTCAGAAAAATTCAAATAATAATCAGTTCCGTTGCAGCCCCGTTTTTAGAGATTTGGGTATGGAGGAAAAGAGAAAGGGTTGTATTTTCTGACACTTGGTGAGTTCCCTGACACACCGGGGACACATATTCATGTAAAAGACGTACAAAAGTGCATTTTGCATGATAGGTCCCCTTTAAGGTTAAAGGTGGTGTAAAGGAAAGTGTGTGTGACAGGTAATAACAAGGGAATGATAACGTAGAGGGGGCACACACACAAAGTCAAGGCTAGCAGCTGCTCAGTGCGGCCATACATTTCATTTCTATCTCTGGATTGTGTTAGTCATGGCCAAACGGATGGTAGTGTCATATTTCACTCTCATAGACATCTACATAACGTATCGCATCACATTATGCTCTGTGACCCCATAATCACCTTCAACCTCACCTTGAGGAGGACGGGTGGAAGTAAACTGGGCAATTTTTGTGTTTAGCTAGCTTTCCGTTGTGTATCCTTTTGGAAACATTGAATTTTTGAAAGTAAAGATGTGAATACTTCTGTTAATGACCACTGAAAAATATCTACTCCGGGTCATGTTGCAACCTTTGGATGGCTTCTAAAGCCCCCCGCTCCCCTAAATCCATCTTATCTGTTCAGATCTCATGGCGCCCAGGGGAGGGAAGGCGAATAGTTTGAGAATTCTGACCACATCTTCCCCGTTACACTTTCTCTTTCATCCTTTAAAAAATTAATCCTGTCCTTTCCTCCACTGCTCTCCCTGCTCCACCCCTCCCTTTCCACGTCTGTACCTTTTTTATTTTTTACCACCACCCTTACTGTTTACAACCTCAGCCCTGGCCTTGTGCTTTCTCCCCGTCGTCTCACCCTCTCCGTTTTACCCCGAGCATCTCCCCTTCTCACCCCTATCCCTCTAATCTCCCTGTGGGGCTCTTGTCATCGTGAAAACATGATCTGCGGCCATCAAACGGCCCATTATACACTGCTGCATTCTCATCATGCTCACACTCCTCCCTATGGACCGTGCACACTCGGCCTCGCATACAGAGCGTCTACAGCTCCAATAGGAGAGTTAAATATTAAGAAAGGCATCCCCCCTGAATGCTAAAGTGAGAGATTATATATATATGTATGTACCAGTCGAAGATCTTGGAATGGACAGATTTCAAGACATTTGAGGGGCTAACGAAGACAGTAGTATAACTGATGGTTAGGATTAGGAGGCATATCTGCAGCATCAAAACAACTAGGGCTATTTGTATGTTAACGAGGGGAAATCTTTAAACCTTAACGTGTAAAAAAAAGTACGCAAAATGATTACATTAACAAATTTGACCCTAACTTCCTCCTATAATTCCAGCGCCAATTGTAACAATGGCCGACAGGTGTTTCAGATATTATTTCAGCTCTACTGTAAAGTAGCTAGCTAACGTAGCAAACCTAGCCATTTCAAATATACTGACAAAGCACTTAATGAAACATTCTTTAAAACAAGTTTAACTTTTAAATCCCTGAACGTCAACAAGCACTCCGGTCCAAGCTGTGTGCATCACTTTTTAGTGTCCCCGTGTTTCCGTTTGGTTTATTCAGCGCTTTTAGTAAACCCTGCCCATGTTTCTTCAAGATGGTGATGATGTTTCTTCATTTGCATGTGTTATGGCACATTTTTAATTTAAATATTTGCATAGGTTTTGAAGGTGCCGTGGGTTTCTCCTCATTGAAGTGTTTTGAGCACGTTTGCACTTGTCGGTCACCGTAGATTGTTACCACAAATTGCATGGCAGTGAAAAGGTAGCGATAGCATAGGAATTCGAAGTTTTAGCAAAGTAGGCCAAAAACAGATATCATGTTATAATAAAGTAAACAACCCTCTGATTTCTCATACCAGTTGATCATGCATTAATAATGATTAAACACAGAATATTACTGCGATTGACTCGATTACATATTTCGATCGATTGATACCACTACAAATCGCCTGGCAGCCTGAGAGGGCACCGTAAGAGGCAGCAGCAGCAGCAGCTAATGGCTAACTGCTCCAGCTGAACAACTTTGTATGCTGCGGAGGGAACACTGCAATGATCCCTTAAGGGCCCGAACATTAGCGGCATGTTTATGCATAGTTATTGGCCTATTTATCCAGTTGGTTTTGTGTTAACCGAGGAGGGAGTTGGAATGAGAGATCATATTTAGCAGCGCCTGTGATGCCAAGAAAGGCTTCGTTGTGGGGCAAAGTGTGCGTGCTTTTTTTTTGTTGTGTAAATGTGTTTTGCTGCTGCAGAGTCTGTGTTGTGATTAGCTGAGCTGCAGCAACAGGGCATACAGTTGAGATACAGACCTAAAACAAATGTCAAGCATTCAAGTACACCTGATACAACTGGTTATTTAGTCATTTATACGTTGAATATATTTCTTCGCATCATCTGTATACATAATTGTTGTCTTGTTTATGAAGATCTATTTTGTCTGATGTAATATTTACCTGTATTTTTCGGGGGTTTTGGACTTGAAGTATTTACATTTCTAAAAGTTTTTTTTTTTTTTTTTTTTTTAAGACTAGAGCGACAAAAATGTATCTTACAAAATTATAAATAAACTGCGGATTACTTTACAATCACAATCATTGTTTGTTACAGCCTTAATCTACCGAAAATAACTTCAAACATGCTTTTATAATTGAACTTTTATTTCATTTATCTAGCAAAAATGTCAGAATTGTACTTTTATAATCATTTTTCTTCTTTTATTGTCATTGGTTTTAGTTGTTTTTCAGCTTTTTGGTTGGAATTTTTGCCTTTTTGTATAAAGTTTAGAGATAATGGATTGCATTTAACAAGCAAATTTGATAAGTAAATTAAGTTTTAAGTGTATAAGTCTGCATGCTTCTATATAATCCTGTGTCTCCTCTCTCTTATTACCTGCAGTAGGCAGTCGGTATGACCAGAGCGTAGCCAACACAGGTTCCCCCGAGGCAGCTGCCCAGCTCGTGGAACAAGCCGTGGGTCAGAGACTCCAGAGGAAGCACCACCAGCAGAGCGCTGAGGAACAGGCAGTTGGAATGCTGCAAAAAGGCGAAAAACAGAATCAGAGTTACTGTCATTCATCACTTACAGTTTGTACCCAAGCATTCAGACCCAGCTAATTGGCCGTGACACTTTTGCAAGACAGTTATGCAATACGGGAATGACAGTGTTATTATTGTGGGAGAAAACATGATGGGAATGGAGAGACAATGCAGTTTATGACCACAGATCAAAAGAAAAACACAAGGATCCATTTTCCCACAGAATTTGATTCTATTTGTGGGGGCACCGCACCGCACCCCCCCCCTGGAGTAACCGAGGGCTAAGTGCCTTGCTCAAGGGCACACTAGTAGTGGTGTTCCAGGCAGGATTTGAACTCACAACCTTCCGATCATTTCCGATCATTAGACCAACAAAAAAAATAAAATAATAATAATAATAATTTAAAAAAATGTTTTTATGACATCCATTTGTGGCGGACTATATTTAATTGCGGTGACCCGCCACAAATAAGTCAATGTATGGGAAACACTGCAGTTTATTAGCCTGCACTTTCTGGGTTGCCATGAATAAACAATACCAATTATTTCATCTTGTCATCTTCTTTTAAGTTTAATTTCACTAGATTTCAATGCTTAAAAATCAACTAGCCATAAAAAAACTCAGCACAATTCCTACACATATACAAACTTGCATATTACCATGTAGAAAAGTAAAGCAGGTCTTGTGCAATAAAACACTGTCCGGCTTTGACCGCGATCAATTCCTTGAGTCACTCAGTGTGATGGTAAGCATTGCAATTTAGAATCCTCAAAAAGCTACTCTGATTTAATAGCATGGCGATGTATCTTAGAGAGTAAAAAGAAAAAATCAATACCTGCATGGTTAAGTGGAGCCACACATGAGTTTGCAGAATAAATTGAACTGCCTACAGTACGCCCAGGGTGAAGAATGTGTTTTACAGTCATTTATTCAACTTTTATGAAGTTGTGTCCCCTTAGATGTTCTCCTGCAAACAGATGCAGTATAGTAAGCAGCGAAAGCACAACAAGGAGGAACTAACAATATAATGCAAACAGGAAGTGGTGGAGAATTGGTTTGCAGTAGTAGATCCTATGAGAGTAGATGAGTGGATTCCTCAATAATTGCACAAAGGCTCTCTTCTGCATTTAGCCTATCACCACTTGTAAATGTATTTTACCCAGCATAAGGTGTTTTTTATATTATCCAGACGCAGCTCTCTGAGCTTAAGCTTATTTTAAATGTTGATAAAACTAAGGTAATGCTTTTTTCAAAAAACAAAAAAACACCGGAGACCACTTTGGATATTGTTTGGATATTGTTACTACCCAAGGACAGGTACTTGAAGTGGGTACCTGTTATAAATACCTTGGTATCTGGCTTGATGATTGCCTCTCTTTTAAACTTCAGGTCAATAATCTGCTTAGAAAGCTGAGGGTGAAGCTAGGTTTCTTTTTCAGAAACGAGTCCTGTTTCTCACTCGAGGCCAGGAAAAGGCTCTGTGACCTTTTTACCTGTGCTGGACTGTGGTGATCTGATCTATATGAATGCACCTGCCCATTACCTGATTAAAGTGCACCTATCATGCTATATTTGAATAATATAGTGTAGGACCATACCTATATAAGGCATATTTATACTTTTTATTTTTCAAAATACCAAACAGATCATGCATTTTAGCCATTCCTCATTTCGCTCAATGTAACACTGTCTTTGCATGGGCTGATTCTGTGAGAACAGCACCATCTACAGGCCTGGCATATGTACTACAGCGTCTCCAGCGCTTTCGAACAGCAATGCCCGTGGCTGTCTCCTCCTGATTGGTGGAGTTGGCCCAATAGCCGTAGCGCCACTTCTGTGACGTCATAGAAGTGNCATGGACCGGAAAAGGCCAAAGAGGCAGAACCCCAGGGCATCACCCAATTACCAGGGCTCCAGCTCGCCAAGCTATGCAAGCCCAAGAGAAAAATTTCATTAAACACAGCCTATGCCATTTGCTTAGCAAAAAGTGTCACCATTCAGGAAAACAGCTACATAGAGTACGGTTGGCTGAGAAGGGCAAAACGAGGAATTACAGAGTGTGAAACACTTTAAAAGGTTCCCATGTCGCATGGCGCATTTCCACTGATCATGATTCCATTGTTGAGGGTATCACTAAAATAAGGAAAATACTGTTGCAATTTTCCAAACTCAAAATTGGTTTTCGCATACAGGCATCTCTGTAAAGTAATGTGTACTTCAGCAGGTATTCACTTTCTCACTAAACGGGCTCGCTTGCAAAAACAGGTTTATACAGTAGGTTGATAAACGCTGTGAGAATGGGTCTGCAGAGAGAATTTCGCCGCGATCCCAACTGTCTGTTATCAGCCTGCAGCCAGGGAGGAGAGATCAGCAGAGCTGCATGCACTGAGTGTGTGTGTGGATTGGTAAATTTGGACCAATCAGCAGGGGCTTAACGTAACGGCTCCGCGGACGAACGTAACGGCTCCACGGACGTAACGTAACGGCTCCACGGATTGGCCCATTTAGTTCCGGGTACGTGCTTTCGTAAGCACGTACCCGGAAGAATCAAATTGATGATGACGTTTCAGCAACGAGGCGTTTTGGGGAGGTATTTTCTGTGTTAGAGTTTTACTCGCTACAGGGTGTACTTTAAGGGCTTTGACTCTGCAGACCGTTTACATGCAGGAAAACCTTCATAACACACAAGGGGACAGGTAATAACCGGAAAAGCATGACATGGGACCTTTAACAAAGCTAGAGACACATTTACATTTTATAAAACAGAATTACATTAGCAAAACACTTTTATCAAGGACAAAACAATATAACATAAAAAAATTAACAAGATGTGAAACACTTTTACGAGAACTGAGACAAATGTACAAGACGTCCCAAAACACTTTTATTAACTAGAGAATCAAACCGGAAAGGGAATGTCCATCAAAGCAGAAGTGACATGAAGTGATTGACTCAAACTTAAGTTTGTTTTGGCTGAAAAACCACCGGTACCTAAGCTTAAATTCCATTTGTTTTATAAAATGTAATTTTGTTTTATAAAATGTAAATGTGTCTCAAGCTCTGTTAAAGTGTTTCAAACTTTGTAATTCTCGTTTGCCTTTCCCAGCCACCGTACATAAGGGTTACAATTGTAAGAAAAGATTCAGTGTGAGAAGCCCTAAAGACTCACATCATTGAAATGTCATTTCTTTCCACAATTCTGAGTGTACCTTTAGGGCAGCCAGGACGAAGAAGGCCAGCTCAGTCACACTGAGAGGCAGCAGGGACAGCCTCCTCCAGATCCTCCCCAGGGAGAGCACCGGTCTCCAGCGGTCACTGGGCCCCAGCCCGCTGAAGTACACATCCAGCACGGGCTCACACAGCTGCCTGCCCAGGTAGCAGCCTAGAGCGTAAGGGTTGGCAGTGATGCCTAAAGCTTTGAAAAATACCAGAGACGTAATCAAGGCAAAACTGACCAGGTTAGGCAAAGCCAGGAGAGATTTCATCCTTAGGTCCACTATGAGAGCCCCCAGGGCCACCACCATGCCTATTATTGCCACTGACTTGTGTAGAAGCATAGCAGTGCTTGCAATGCCAAATCCCAGGAGCTCCAGGAACTCACTTGATGTTAGCAAGGTGGGCTTGTACCGGATAGAGCTGCATATCCTCTCAGTTAAAGCCCATATCGTCTTCATGGTTACACTGGCTAAAAGGAGATAGTTGGTGACCAGTTCCTTGACATTTGAATCCAAGGCGGTGCTGTTGAAGAAACACAGAAGGCCGAGCAAAAAGCCACACCACAAATGGAACAAGCTGAGACTGGCTTTCTCCATGGCAAAGTAGTAATGGAGGATGCTGGCTATCCCCAGGACGACGAGGCCCAGGATGAAGATGACCATGATCATCGCTTCTTCTGTCACCTCCCAGCGGACGTACATGCCAACGCACACCGCCACCAGGAGAGTGAAGCTGGAAAGGTAACCCAGGCAACGCACCGATGTAAACATGTCCACCTCCTTGGGTGCATCGACCGTCAGCTCCTCTTCGTCTTCGTCACGAGCCATGTTGGCTAATTAAAAAGAAAACGTAACTTAAAAATCTGTCAATTCCTAACAGTCACCTTCTCTAGACATGCACGGGTGTGCAAGGCTAGAGAACAAGTCTAGCCTCTTGATGACATCTTTCAAAATCAGCCCCTGTGAACAAATCCAAAAGCAGTGTTACTCAACTTCATAAGTATCAAATTGACAAGCCATCCAAACTTATATACGTCACATTTGTTGGTGACTCATGTCGAGATGAATTACTAAAAAAAGCTAAAGTGAGCTTCATTCCTCTTCTATAGTCAACTCGTAAATCTCAACTTAATAGGAGGATATAAAACTTATAGTTTGATTAGCTAGAGTTTAGAATACAACTACAAAAAGGCATTTATAAATAATAATATGGTTAGCAGCAAACAGGTGAGATACGTTATTTTATTTGTAGTGGTGTGAAGTAAATAAGTACATTTACTCAAGTACTGCACTTGCAAAGTAACTAAAGGTAATACATAAATAAATGCATTTGAGTAAAAGTACAAGATTACCCTTTGAATTGTAGTGGAGTAGAAGTACAACATAGCAGAAAAAGTTCAAACTCAAGTACTGTACTTACTGCAAGTACAATTTTGAGGTACTTGTACTTGTATGCTACCTTATACTCAAGTAAAGTACAAGTCTCTCACAATTGTACGACAGTAAATCTACTTAGTTACTTTACACAACTGACTACTACAAGCAGTAGGCTACTAGGCAATTATGAATAATACTAATATGGTTAATGCAATGATAAGCAGCAGTAACAGCGGATATAATTTTTTTTATAAAGTATCCACCAAAGGACCAGCGGCCCTGCTGTTTGTGGCGATGTGGCAGTCAGAAGTTTGCTAACTCATAGCCTTCCTGCTCACTTTTCGCTTTAGGTTAGCAAACTCGCGTCTTCACATTTTAATGCTGTGTCTCTGACTTTCAAAAAACAAGCAGCAAGCCCTTGAACAAACGTTACAGAGAGTACTTTAAAAAATAATGTTTTGAAAGGTCAAAATATTGCTTACATGTTGTTTGTTTAGATGACAGCAACTCTGCTTCCGGATTCCAGAGTACGGCATCTCGCGAGGGACAAAACACTCGGGTGTTCGCTTTTCAGGCTTGGAACATTGTACAGTATGTATACACTACATCTGAAGTATAGAAATCTCCTTAAACTTAACTATACATCATGCAATATAAATTCAAAAAGCATTACCTTGGTGAATCACTAAATCAGTGCAGGAAAAATGTAATGTCTTATTTCTTTTGATGAGGTAGTTTGCAGTTTCCTGCTTTGTTTATGTCATGTGATAAGAAAGTAATCTAGAGGCGGCATGGCTTTTCAGTATACATAAACCTACATCTTAATAGTTCATCAGATTAAAAACCTAAATGCATATAGATTACATATATGTATATATTTACAATCATGGCAATGTTTTATATGAGTCTCCCTTTTTTAAATATAAGCTATACACAAGGAAATAGTCTATAATGTAAGATATAGACAGCACAGCTAAAATTCAGTAATGCCAAAGAAAAAACAACAGCCATGGTTTCTTGTGATTGCAGGAAAAACAAATTGGAAATAATAACCAGGATGAGCCAGCATACAACTCTCCTATTAAACACAAATTAACAATAATTACACCGGAGTGTGGATACAACATGTCAACATACGTTTGTGATAAAAGCCAATTGGTGTTTGTTGGCTAATTAAACCAAGATTGTTGTTTATTTTTGTTGTAGCATTATTGAAAAACAAGAAAAAACTCAGACTTTATACCAGCTTTAATTATGATAATTTGTGTTAATGAAACCGTACAAAGCTACATGATGCATGCCAGGTGTTCGGTTTTATTGGGAGGTAGATTTTACAACACTACAATAGTTGTTTGTGTACATAATTGCTTGAGATATATTGTTGAAATATTCAAGCTTAACTGTTATGTCCGCAATAATGAAAATCCTGTTTGTGATAGTATAATTCTAAATGAATAAAAGTATTCAAACCAATGAAAAACCTTTTACTTGCTCCAATCCTGCAACTTGCAACACAAAAGTCTCTGTCATGGGCTTTGTATAGCAGGATAAACCCATTGGCCTGTAGGATAAGGTGCTTTTGTTACTACATTACTGAGGAGAAGCGTGTTACAAGATTTATTTAGGATTTTGCACTGATGCAATGTGATAAATGCAACGATCAGGGGGAACATCAAGAAGCAGGCTTACTCAATACCCTGAGGGTATAAAGCAAAACAATCAATGCATGTGTGTGCATTTTTCATGCTTGTGATTTTCTGAGTATGTGTATTTTTGAGTAAGTGTGTGTGTGTGTGTGTGTGTGTGTGTGTGTGTGTGTGTGTGTGTGTGTGTGTGTGTGTGTGTGTGTGTGTGTGTGTGTGTGTCTAACTGCATAGTGCTTTGATCAGATGTTTACATAAGGCACATCTAGAAACACCAAGTGCTTTAGCCCTCTCGACTGCTCAAGCTTTATTGCTGAGAGCAAGATGCAAACACTGAAATTCGTAACAATCGCAATGTTTTAATACACCAGACACATTTAATAAAATCTGAATGGATGGTGCTCTCTGCATAACCATAACCAAGCTAAAATATTTTTGTCCAACAGAAAATATTTCTCTACGGTGTCATTAAAGTGTTGTATAAAATCAACAGTGGGGATGTTTTACAAGAAGGGCAAAAATATCCTCGTGTAAAATCACATTTATTTGCTGCCTGTGCTTGTTTATAAAATAATAAGGTTTTCACAGAAATGGAATGGAACAGATGACAATGAAGTCAGATGTTGTTTTGTAAAATTGCACTTATATGTTCCTAAAACAAATCTTGCCATAATATAGTGTTGTTGTATCATACCCTAATAGAGTGCCACAGTGACGCGTCCTAAACCCCAAGTAAGTTAGCATTTTACCCTACTTTTATAATTTTCTAATCATAAATCGAATCAATAGATTTATGATTAGAAAATTATAAAAGTAGGGTAGACATGTGGATATTATTCGGCTGAACAAGACGTGATCTGTCTCTTCAATTTGTGTCAACCACAGACATATTACATACATTTCGAGCTATTTTCCAAAATCCTATGGAGAAATTGCATTGGTTTTTGTCGAAGGAACCGGAAGGAGTTTACTTCCGGGTTTTAGGACGCGTCACTGTGGCACTCAGTGTAGTAATGACTCCTTAAACCTGGAAATGAGTTTGCATTTGACCACTTCCTGTTCCCTGATCTCAAAGTCAACATTATTTTTGAATATATGTTTGGTTAGATGCCTGAACTAAGATCTATGGATATTGTTAACACAATCACAGTTGGCCTACACAAATACATTATCATATGCACTACTCTTTTAGGAAATGCATTTATGTATGATAGACAGCGCATGGCTGTTTCATGGATGTTTCAACCAACTGAATAGGCTGCTTTAATGTAATACTAGGAGTAGAAAACGTTTAGAAAATGCTGCCATGCAGAAAATCTCTGCTTTAAATTATGCAATAACTAGACAATAACTCTCTTTTCCTCTCGGGAGAGGCTGGCAGCTACAGGAATGCTTCTAAAGAGACTAAGAGTGGAGCTCATTGATTGATCTTCATCCAATTCCTTTTACAACTATAGGATAATTACAGCACTGTGTCTGTTGGTAACCGGAAAATGTAGTCCCTTTGGTTTCAAGTTTACCAAAAGATCTATTGATCATTTACATATATGTACACCAGTGCTGTGAACACGCATCAGCATTTGCAACTTAAAGCATAAAAGAAACACTTTAATTATGTATGTACTGTATATGTATGATTATAAAACGGACAAGTCAAATCAAGCAATCTGATTGGTTCTTAGCCGTGATATACTGAGCGTATACCACGGGTAGAATTGTAAGTTACTTTCACAAGTCAGTATCCCTCCGCGCCTGAGAAAAACAGTATACAGTTGGGCTGGGTAATACAACACATTTATTTTTTAAATGTGTTGACTAAATGTTGCATTCATGCATAATTGACGAATTCGGTGTTCAAATAATTTCCCCAAACTGTGGTGTATGTGTGCAGTTCCCGGGTTTAATGAGCTATCACTAAAAAGAAGAGAACACAACCTGATCAGAGCTCATGAATGGTGCAGTAGATATGATCTGGTGAAGGTTAAAGTGCTGAAAGATCTTAAAAATGAAAAAGACATACACCCACTGAGAGGGAGAGGGAGGCGGAGAGGAAGAGAGAGTTACATTTATTAAAATCATGAGGGTTACATGAGGACAGGAGTGAGAGAAAGGAGAGGGAAATGGGAGACTAAAGGAGACAGGTTCATCTGAATTATGCAGAGGCTATAGCTTCATTCTAATGTCAGAAACACCTCACCCCACCTGTATACAGGGTTAGAAGGATTACTTTTAAAATGTATTCCATTACAATTACTAGCTGTAAACAAAATGTAATCAGTAACTAATCTGACGCACCAGAGTTAGCCTGTGTCAGAATTGTAAGTGTTTGTCAGTATATTTGAAATGACTATAGGTTAGCTACGTTAGCTATAGCCTACAGCAGATCTGCAATAATATCGGAAGGAAACATGCGATTACATTGATAAAATAAGTCAATAAACCTTACATTTTAGGTAGCTTTCCAGTAAATGTTGGCCAACTTTAAAATCCCCGAAAGTCAACATGTCCCAGCTGTGTGCATCACTTTTTAGTGCCCCCATTTCCCTTGTATTTTTAGCTTTTTACAGCTTTTTGTTTATGCAGTGCAAATGAAGTGATGAGGATTATCATTTCCCGTAATCTGCTGACAGAATCATGATAAACCCTTTTCCTGGATATTTGCGTGATTTGAATAGTGATCATATTGTTATGGTCTTTCTTCCTGTTGTGACTGGTTTCCTAAAGTGTAAAAGGTCATTTAAGGACGTGTGGTAAGCCAGTCAGTAAGACATTCTCGTATAATATCGGTTATTGCGCATGTTCGTCAAGATGGTGAATGTTATCTAAATACCGTGCATGTGTTAAAAGATATTTCTTTATATGCATGTAAATGTTTTGGGCCTTGGTAGCGCTTTTACCCCTGTGGGCCACCATACAAAAGACTGACAAACACACATGCACCATATCATATACACACTTATTGTATCTTAAATCAGAATTTACATTTGCATTCTTATGTCTAATCAGTATTCAGATTTTGTTTGCTACTGTTTGGAAATGATAAAGTAGAGGTTAAGGGAAGTTAAAAAATGTTTGGTCTAAGATGAAACATGAATCCGGGGCTCTGCCGTGAAGGTCGAACACACGACGCATATCCCCCACCCTGTCCTGGACACCCTTAGTTTTTGCCTCATTACATAGAGGGCACACTGTTTCCTGCATTGGCACTGAATGTTGGCACGGGAGGATAATCATGTGCTGAGGAATCATCGTCCAAGAACAAAGACTCCTAATCAAAAAACAAGAGCTGTAATTTGAAAAGACTTCAAAGAGTTTAGGACAAAACTAAATAAAAATCCATTTCTACTCTCTACTTCGGATACAATCTATCAGACTTTATAGGCATCAATGAACAAATGGTGGATTCAGCCATTTTGTTACACACTACTTCATCTTGAGTTTGGATGAGAGATGGGTCTCATTTTACATAAAAGAGTCATCTCTGAATACAAGTAATAAAGTATAAGGTGCACCGGTTCGTTGGCATCAGCGTCCCTCATTCATGTGCTGTAACAGCGCAGGACACAGGCGGGGGGGCACGGCCGCCAGGAGAGGTCTGTTCAATCACAGTTTCATCTTCAGAGAAATCAATGTGATGGAGCGCTGCGCCCAAAGTGGATGTTAGGAGAGGCAGACAGCATCAGAAGCCTAAATCAAAAGCCGCCGGTGCTTAGTATATCTATCGAGGCTGAAATGAAATTCAGAAATAAGGGTTTGATGAATGGGAAGAGAGGTTGATGAGGGAGAGAAAGCCGGAATAGAAGGATATAAGCAGATAATGCCACAAGATTAGTTGACTTTTCGATGGTGGCGTCAAATGAGAGAGACAAGAAGAGAATAAGAAGTTGACAAATGCTAAAGCAGACAGAGAGT